TTAAGAAGTGATACTTCTTTTTCCTGGTGGAATATAGACACATATAATGAATATGGAAACAAAAGTACTCATATTATGCAAGATGAGAAAATGTTGCAGGTTGTCAATTATAACTTAACTATTTTTCCCCTTGAATAATGTTTTTTTTTGCCTGTTGTAGCCACTAAAGAGCGTAATATTTTCCTGGGAGTCACTTATACTAATACTGTCAGGTAAAGAGACCTTCACGGCAAACACAGATTCTAAATCCTGCGATATAGCATATGACAGACAGTGAAAGGCAAGCCATCTCAGCCGCTGATAAAATATTGAATATTGTGCCACAGGTACCAAGGGTTAATATGGAGAAGTAGGGGCCGAAAGCAAATTGTTCAGAAAATAGTGGATCGCTTCAGAAAAATGAGTGAACCAACCCATCTGGACCCAAGCACATAATGTATTCCTGAGGACTTTGTGCTGCCATTGCTCACAAAGCTGAGGTAACCAGGTGCTAATGACCTGCCCCAGGCTGCCCTGAGTCTGCAGACAAATCAGGTTTCTGTCTCAAATCAGATCTTTGAAACCTGCAACAAAATTATGCCCTTCACAGTCCCTGCTCTGGATTTAATGTCATCATGAGTGAAGGAGACAAATCCATTTTGAACGCTCATAATTTTAATAGATGAGACATGTTTGAATAGATCTGAACTAAAAATGAATTTCAACTGACATTAAAAATGCTTCTTTATTTCATTTGCTGTGCAGAATGTAGAAACATACTTTGCCAAAAATTCAATAAACATTTAATCAAATTGATTAATTTTGGAAGGTAAAAAGGCTAAAAAAAACAGCTATTAATCTCAGTCATTTTTAATAGAATGGGAATGAATGAGAGACCGAATAATTTTTTAGTTTATGTTTGTGCATTTAGCAGACGCTTTTGTCCAAAGCAACTTACAAAGTAAAGTCAGTGTGCAAATCAAAGTTAGTGTGCTACACCTAAAAGGTTTGAAAACTGAGAATTCATTTAAAAGAAAGAAAAAAATCATTCTGTTTCCATTTGAAGAGAATTATTGTGACATTCATGTCTTCAGGTAATCAAGGTATCAAAGTTGCACTGAAATTTCAACAAAACAACCCTTTAGTAGCAAGAAAAGAGGAAAGAGGATATTCATGCATAAGAGAAGAGAAGGCACACAGTCTGTGCCGACAGTGATAGGGGGTAATGAGTTTTTGCATTCACAGGTACACACTGCTCACATGTATAACAGCTCTGTCAGACTTGTGACAGAATATTTCAGCCTGATCCCCCTCAAATTCAGACCCTAGGGGGCCTCTACGGCAGTCTGTGTGCATGGGCTTTGGTCATAGCAAAAAAAAAAAAGTGTTGCTCTTTCTGGGCTGGTCTGTGAAGACTCATTAGTGTGGCCCAGTGAGAGGCAAAATAACTGACTGATTAGAGAATGGGGGAAACGGGGAAAAACTAACCACACAGTGAAAAAAAATGGCTACTCTTCTCATCACCATCTATGAACAAGGATGGCAGCTTCCTCTAATGAATTGGACTGTCTCGTCCTAATGAATGGAGTCTAGAGATGGGCAAAAGGAAATGAAGGGAATAGTGGGATGTCAGACTATATGAAGGATGAAGTAACTCATAAGAGGGCCTGTATTACAGGGGCCTATTAGTTCCCCAGTCTCTGCTGGCAATGGGTATAATGAATATGGTCTCAGAGGAGCAGGCTGCTGCCTGCATTAACAAAAAGATGATAGTCGGTCAAAACAGCAAAAGCCTTAGTTTTTCCTCCACAATATCACACAGTGAAATGACTCAAACTCCCTTTTACACATGCGTAATTATTTAATATGCTTAGGTATAGGTTTCAATATCTTTGGTAAAATTCAAACATTAACATCTGCTCACTTGTCCATCATCATTTGTATTTTTCAATGTCTTTTTTTCAGTCATGGCTTTTATTCTCATACAAAGGTCTCGGTACTTACAACACATCAGTGACACTTCGTACAGCATTTCAGAACAAACAGCAGCTGATTCATTTACATTTACTTACCTTTTATTTTTGGTCAAAATCTTTTTGTTTATACTAAGTGGAAGCTTCTTTTCATTTTCCCATCTCGATACTTTGAAATGAGCACAATGTGTAATTTAGAAAGGGTAAATTAAACGTAAAGATGACATTTAATAACTTTGAATTAACGATGACTCCAAGACAAAAGATACTCTTTCACTTTTGCAGCAGTTAATAAGAATATTTCAGGACTCCAACCCTAACCCTAATTAATGCTTTGGAAAGAACTCAACTCATAAAACCGAAGCTTGGTTATCTTGTTCATCTCTACCACAAAACTGCTGTCAGAGACTGAACACTTCAGAGAGGTTGCTTATAACCATCTTGATGTTGGTTAGACGACGCCAAAGCCTTGAGGTTTCACACCTCTAAATGCTGGAAGACGGTGCGAAAAGTGGGTGGTGGATCTGGTTGACGGCTCACAGATGCTTTTCACACCAAAACAGTTGTGACTTGTCAATCACAAGAGTACCCAAACCTAAAAATTGCATTCTCTTTTTATTTTTTTACATTAAACTGGGCCTCATATTACAGATCAAAGATTATACTGCACTAGGGCAGATATTAGAAACGAAACGAAGAGTATAGATTCAACCATGAGATTATCTTACATAAAATAATAATTTTAATGGCTATGTGAATAGTAATATGACATTATTTTCATCAAGATCAGATGGACTGAACTTATGTAATGAGATCATAGTGAGATGTGAAAAACCATAAATCGCATTTTTTTAAAGAAAACATATTTTATATCTTCTGTATTTGTGCTTCGTATATTCGCTTTGTGTTGCAAGCAGTAGATATAGTTTATAGTCTACACTTGAAATAAGATAAAATGAGCTTGATGCGTTTTTCCAGGACTTTGAGGAAATTCAAGGAATTCTGTCTCTCTGGGAGAAATTGGTGTCCACTGGAGGGAAAATGCCAGTACAGTTCATCTTCAGCTTCTCCAGTGTTAAAGCTTTTTAAACCAAAAAGTCATTCTGCACAACAACATTCATTGTACATCTTGGTTATCAAATTAATAACCACTAACAAGCCAGTCTTCTCTGTCAACATCTGTGCAAGTAATTACACCGAAAGAAGGAAATCTGACACATTTTAAAAGTATATCTTAATATAAACATTTTATTCAGTGCATTTTTGTGTATACAACAAATAATAAACAACTGGAAGTTATCAGACGGCCGCAGTCTCTGTCTGTATATGTTGTTTTAGCAGATTAAGTCTGGTAGTTTGGAACACGTGATCCAACATGGGTTAATACACATAGCCTACATCATGCAGCTCTAGTCCAGTATTTCCCTGCTTTCTCCCATGCAACAGATAGGTTCACTTAATACAAACCACCTCCCCAGCGAACCAAGAAAAGAAATTCTCCCAAAACATGTACTGATAATAAGTTATGTAGCTGAAGGAAGGAGTACTTAGCCCACAAAAAGGTTCCTTTTTGTACATAATTGTGTACATGCCCTGTGTCAGAAAGGGAAGAAGTTAATTTTTGCATTTTTTTTTGTCTTTTTTCACCTTTACAAATATGACAAGTCCTATAAAATGTTAAGCCACCTAAAAGTCCACAGTATTCTTTTTTTTAATATAGAAAATAGTGTCACCACAGTAAGTTACTCAAACACATAACAAGCATCCTGGGAAGGATTTTTCACCACATTCCTATGGTGAGCTGTATTAGTCAATAGAAATGGACAAAAGAGGGATGGCTTGGGGATTGGAGCATGACACAAGCACAGAAGGAAGAAACATTTCACAAGGACAAGAGTTAAAGACATTGTGACACCGCGATAACAGAAGGGATGGGAACACTGAATAGACATTTCATACCTCCTTCATTGAGCATTTCGGTCAATAGCATAACAACAAACCCGCTGCCTGCGCCAACGTGCCCTCAAATTAGTTCCATCTTCCATTAATCTTTTTTTTCTTCAAAACTTTTCTTATCCTCACCAAAAATGTATAATGACCAAAAAAAATCCAACTTTGCCTTTATGTTGGCTAGGTTTTCAGCAGCTTAAAGGGACGCTCTTTCAATCTGTCTTTGGTTTGCTGGAACCCATCTCAGTAATTAACAAAAACATGTATAGATACTAAATCAACGATGGTAGGGGCGGACAACAAGAGGCAACAAAAGCAAAACCAGTTATCAAAGAAAATCTCTCTGCTAATTCAGAAAATTAGCTATAAAAAAAAAGAAAACAAGTTGCAGCCGTGGCTTCTCTGAAAAGAAAAAAACAATTGCAAGAGAGCCACACTGTCCCTTATATTTCAGGTCAGTTGAACATAGGCTTTATTTTCCCATGCCAGAGAGCTCAGTCTCTGAGCGTGTGCACTAGGACGCAGGAGAGCTACCTCCTGGCTGGTCAGTAGCACTGGGCTGGACCACGCCAGGGAGTTTATAGGCTTTGTATTCACAGAAGCATGGGTGAGACAGAGAGGGCTTTTACTGTACCATTGCAGCCTTGTGGATCAGCACCGTTAATGGCTGCCCTGAAAACTGCATATCGAGCATCCAGTCCCTGTCTGACAGATGTGAAGAGTGCTTAGTGCATGACATAAGAAAAGATAATGAAATAAACAAAAGGAGGAGCCAAATGCTGTGTGATTGCCACCAAAGACAGTGGCCAGGCAAATAAATACATTTCAAGGGAAAAAAAAAAAAAACTGTGATAACTTTTTTTCAAGTCAAGCATGATCTGTGTACTCTTACGTCTCTTTTAATAGATGTGGTTTTGATAATGGCTGAGCCCGATGGTACCTAACCGTTTTTTAATGATGGCGAATGGGTGTTTTATATGTGGATTGTTGTTGTAGCCAGTCCTAAAACGCTGATAGGAGAAACAAGTCTTCTTGGATCACGCTCTGCGAGAGGTAAGGTTTCATGGTTCGGCCCCAGGCCTGCGTTTGGCTACCGGGCTACGTCGACTCATTCTGGCTCACGGCTTTGCCACCGTTGAGGACAGCTGAGGCACTCCGACTCTTGGTGGGTGTGCCACTGCCAGAGCGGGAAAACTCTGTCAAGTCATGGACGGATGGCTCTCTGTACATTGCCACTGTGGAAACACAAAAGGGATAAGAAATCAGACACACAGTATATCACAAGTCAAGCAAGAAGTCGGTCAAGAAAGAGCTCGGCCTTTACTTTAACATGCTCGTCAAAACGTCGAGGTTTATCTGTACCACTGAGCATCTTTAATCTAAACTCAGTCTGAGATTCCTCATTGTTTTTTGTCAGAAAAATAAATTATTTTACTGTTATATATTTTTTAAAGTAGGAATGAATGTACAACTCAACACGAATCAACATGAATCATTAAAGAGAAGTTTTTAATAAACAAAATTAAAGAACTAGCAGACATTAGTGTGTGCTTTCTTTGAGAGTTGTCAGCCTTCAGAGAGCTTTTACGTTATCGAGGGAAACGATTTGTGGTGAGGACTTTCTGAGTGTTCATCACATCAAATTAAGTCACTGCTGTGGCTTCGGTGCTAAAGAATTGGATTTCAGCACATTGTGCGATTTTTAACACAGCAAACTGGAAAAAGTGTCACGCTTGCTTTGAAACAGCAACAACTTTATACTAGAAGCTGCACTCCTCCACGTCAAGCAAGGCAGATATTTTATCTGCTCACTTATGGAACATTTTCATTAAACACTGGTGAACCTAATGGAAGATGACTGATTAACAGTTTATGTAAACTCTATAGAAAAAGTGCTGCAAAATGCCAAATCCAGAGGTCACAAATAACTGGTCTGACACTTAAGTAAAGGAAAAACTAAATCTCAGCGTGATATTATCAATTCACGAGGTGTTGATGCTTTAGCTTTGCTGTGTTTGCAGCACAGGTCCAATCTGCATCTCAGCAGCTAGTTTTTCAGAAGAAACATCAGTAATTTGAGGTTCACAGTCTTTGGTTTCAGGATGTTGTCAACATCCTGCTGCCTAAGATGCTATTTGATGTTTGTTCCTGAGGGAGATTGTGGCTGAAACAGCAAATCTAGTCCTTCAGACACTTGACTAAGCCCTGCATTTTTGTTACAGCAGCAACCAGGAGACCATCTATGTATACACATACCATTCAATGGTAGAAATTGGGTGGGATACAGGATTGGGACAGATGTCATTAGGGAAACTACTGTATTATGTATTATTATCATTATGGACTAAACATAAAAAGGTGATTTTCACTTGTACATGTTATAACGCATGAAAAACTACAAGTTCACATGACTCCAGATACCTCTTGTTTCACATATACACCCCTTGACTTACTGGATTTCTTTCTTTCATGGATCAGACCTTTATGGTTTCAAAAGGACATTTTTCGTTCGTTTGAGTTATGTCAATTGAACGCGCTTCATCTGGAGGACGACAGCATGGGAGGCAGAGAGTTCAGTGACTTGAACTGGAAGAAAAACTAGAGAAGCTTGGAAGAGAGGCCATCGCTGGCACGCAGCTTCTTAATTGGCGCCCTGTAACACCACTGCTTCTGCGTCTTTACAAGCTGCTGGAACAAATTCCCTCTAGATTTCTCTCCTGCTTTTGGCTGTAAAGCTCTCTCTGAACCACTGGTTTTATTTCAAATTTAAATAATTCTGAATTTAAACTGTTTGGATATTCTTAAATATCCAGATAAAAATGGAAATGATAGCCAAAAGAAGTAGAAACTTAATTTCCCCTAAAAATAGAAAAATATTATCATGCTATTACCTTTTACATGGTGGTTTGAGAACAACTGAACGCTTTGTTAAATAGGGTAAAAAGTTATTATAGAAATCTAAGTGGGAAAATACGTCTCTCAAGAAAAGCTGTAAAATGGGATAGAGTCACTTTGCCAAATAGAATAAATCAAGAGAAATTCATTCCAAAGTCGCATTTTTACATAATCTCAGAAAGATGCAGCACAGAACGATAATGAGAAGACATTAACTGAACGGAGCATGTGCGCACATGTGAACATGCTGTCAACACCTCCAGATGACGCAGACCTTCTGAGGATGTCATTAAAAACCATACTGTTGTGTTATTCTAACTTGCCAGATGGTATGTAAATGCAGAACAATCTCACGAGGCAAACACAAAGGATTTTATTGAAAAAGTGTTGTCAGGTGACTGGATCAAGGACCAGAAGATCCATTTGATAAATTAGTAGTATTATCTTATTCTGTAGAAGCAGAAATGGATAGCACAGCAGATTACTCAAATTCATTTGGCACAACGATTCTTAAAAGATTTTTCAGTGTGTGGAAAAAATAACAGTTGCAATGGATAAAAATGGGTGGCTTGCTTCAATAAATGTGCTGCCAGAAAAATAACAATAACTATAAATTATAAAGAGCCAGATGACAGAACCAGATTTTGGACAGCAAGGGTTTAATTTGTTAGTATGAAAGAAAAAAAAAACAGAAAGAGAAAACAGATAGTTCCTCTTTTGTTTCACTGAAGATAAAAAACAGACTCCGCCTGGCTTTGCCGGCTCTCTGTTGACAGGTAAATCTGTGTCTTGTTGAAGATGAAAGGACTATGGCCTTTTCAACTGACAACAGAACCATTTCTCCCCCTCGCCTTGCTGTTTTCTCTGTTCTCCACAGCAACACCACCACACAGGTCGCCTGGATGGGTGGAGTTCCCTGTAAATCTACTGTAACGAAAACAAAGTGCTTCAAGCTACTATTCAAAGCACAGAAACATATTGTCGGAGCTGGTTACAGACAATGGCCTCCAAACCCACTCTGCACTGTCCCTGCAGTGGAGTGTGACCGGCTAGAGAGAACTATTCAAAAGGCACATGCCAGCAACTCTGAGGAGAATACTCAAATGTAGAGCCAAGTGGAAAGTAGGATATTTAGTTTATATCAAAGGAATATCCACATGGACCGTAAGCATAGAGAAAATAAAAAAGAAATTGGGGACTTTTGATAAGAGAAAAAGCTGTGCTTCCCAATTCTCTCATTGTGGGAAAATAACTCCCGACATGAATATTTAACTACATGAATGCTCAATACAGAGAGGTTTATTGTCAGATTACATTGGTAATGCTGACATGTACGTTCTCCAACCTGATCTAATCGAATGTAGCCCACATCGTGACAATAAGGAATCAAAATGTGGATCAGGGCAGACTTACCCTTTAGAGGCTTGGGAAGGAAGTGGGCTGCTGGCTTGTTCTTTTTGACATGGTTCCCCTTCATGATTTCTCCCTCCTTGTTCAGACCGAGGTACCAGCCCCTGCCCGACTGCTGCTGCCGGTACGTCATGGAGGAGTATGTTACGTAGTAGTTCTCAAACACCGACTCCTTGAACTTGCACTCTATCGTGAAGTGTTCCTGTGGGGAGGAGGACAAGGAGAAGGGGTGTAAAGTAGTCGTTGTGCCAACAGTTCACAGGGTCTCAAGAGTCTGTAACATCCACTGACACAAGCAGCAGATCTGCAATCGTTCTTCTCTTCCGGTGTGTTGGGCTTCATGACCAACGCAGTCACGCCAAGAAAGGACTATAGGACTTGGTTTAACATTCTCATTTCATCACAATCTTATATTTATTCACGCTTTTAAATATTGTTAAATAGCAATACAAGCATCCCTCTCACACAGATAACAGTGAAATGACATCACAGGGGAGCATTAATAAAACATACATGCCAAATGAATAGTACATTCTCATTTTGGTTCAGCTATTAATTATGTATGGTCTATTCATCGTCGGAAGGATATTTTTACATTGCATGTGAGAACTTGTTTGATAAGATAAATTAGACTACTTACTGTTTGCACTCTATTAAAGTAATGATGAAGAGGCATTCAAATGCTTTTACAAGGTGGCTTTAACTAGTTTATACATAAGCCCCGTGCACTCAACACCATTATGGTGACTTGTCCAGCTGTCTTCTCCCGTTTCTCATCTACTAATGCAAGGCTTACAGAAAGACTCCTTAGACAGGCTGTTTTGCTGGTCACCTTCCAGATACCATGCTGGGAGGGAGTTCCCTTACGTTTACTGGTGGTTTATAATCCATCTTTTATTGGGTTTTATCTGAAATTCCACAACTGGGTGAAATAAATTCCCCCTAAAGCGAGTTTGGGCGATAGTAAGTGGGCTTGATGCATAAGCCAAATGTCTGTGTGCCAGTTTGTGACTATGAGTGTGGCGATTTTTTTACTCCGGCATCTCGGCCGAACACAGTGGGCTACAAAGGGAGCAGGGAAAAAGGATCTTTCTTAGACAAGGAGTGGATGCATCTTTCTGACTGGTAGATGGAACAATGCTCATTTCTAACCAAATGGATCTAAAATCATATCGGTTAGGCCGTTGACGTGTTCACAGGGCCAAAGCCCCCCTGTGAGATCCTGACAAATAACACGGCGTTCGCAGAAGTGTAGTCATCTGTAATTACAGGCCTGTTTTTATTAACGAGCGGTGGTATCATGCCTCTTGTGAAGCAGCAACAGGACTTCAAAAGCCTAAATGAGGTCATGCATGATGATGATGTATTTCTATAGATAGAAAAAGATAGAACGCAAACACACTCACACACAAAAATAGTTTTAACAGCACTAACCTATTGTATTACATGATCGGCATACTTTAAAATGAGATAGTACCGTAAGAGAGAAGCAAAAACCTCCGGTTAAAATATTACTGAAAATACAGTACTGCCACTGAGAATGGCTGGTGGGTTCTTATACAGACAATTCGCTTCCCAGCTTCTTGGCCTTAGAATGGAAGAAATTATTAATATCTTAATTTAACACTCACTAAAATAAAAGTTATTATTAGACTATAACATTGATTTTTTTTTTCCTGAAAACTGAATAATCTGTGACTGATAGCCATTGATATATACACACATTTCACACATACACACCTTCACACAGTCTTTTTATAAAATACATTAGCCGACAAGAACACATACAGTGCATTTGTGTGTTTTTTCCTATTGTGAATTCAGTATTACTGATAAACTTTTGTAGTGCCGTTGTTCTGTTATTCATCAAACTGAATCACAGAAGTGTGATTGTGTTCATGTACACTTGTACATTCAGCCGACACCTTTATCCAAAAACGTGCACACTATCAAGAATATTAAAGATCACGTTCATCATAAAAATCACGCCTACTTTTCCATTGAAGTTTTACCCCTCCTTCCACATTGTTTATTTGTTGACTGTAAACCAGTCTCAATACATCAGTGTCTTCTTGTCTTGTGACACAACTCTCTTGTTCAAGCTGATCAGCCGCAGCAGTCTTGGAGAGAAGGGGCGGTATCCATCTAAGTTATGCATGAACAGTAATTGGAAGCAAAAACAACAAGCTGCTCTTGTGCCAGCATCTCTGTTCTACCTCTAATAATGAGCTTATGTGGATTTGGCTGGTTACCCTCTTCCTGATGAAGAATGAGAGTCTATTGACTAACAGACGTATACAGATGGATGTATGCACAGTTTGTGCCAAGATAGAGGAGAGGCTGCTGGCTCTAACTGCTGGGCTGGAGAGGCTCTTTAGAGAACAGGCTTGTGCCGACTAACACAAAGATGGGCAAAAATGGCAAGGGATTCCCATTTCTGTCATAAGAGGACCACGGTGTACGTGCTGTGCATTTCAAAGGGTTCGAGTAGAACCTTTTACAGACAATAGCACATCTATCGTTCCCTCAAACCAATCTCACTGCGGGGGGATCTCTCATCACTTTAATCAAGGCTTCCGTGCCAAAAAGAGCACAGGGAATTACTTAAGAACTAAAAATCCAGAACATCAGCACTGAATAATGCCCTCAGTCATTTCCTCATGCCCAATTCTCTGTGGTGGTTTTGCTAAATGGAATTTTAATGATCCAGTGATACTACAGTGGTTGTTCTTTGAAATAGGAAATGGAAATATATCCTTTTCCAAATGACTGAGTAATAGTAAACTACAGAATCCAAGAACAGAAAACTCAATTTTAACATGTATGAATGTATGTGTGTGTGTGTATATAAATGTAACAAATGTTGAAAGAGTCTTTAATTGTTTTTTGGCTCTGTAGCTAAAGCTGCTAAAATAGTTGTGCTGCTGTGAGGTGAGAGGTGCTTTCATGAACTTTATAAACCTAACTGTGATGTTTTTTTTAACTGTGTGCGTCGGCAGCATCATATCATCTTTAATTTTCTCTACTTACTACCGGCAAATTGTTTTTTTAGACATTTTTAGAATTTTTCCAGTTTCTACATGAAAATAAACTTACCGTATATATAAAGTGATTGTTCATTTAATTCCCACCTTGCTGTTAGACTGATGTTTAATAGTTCCCCCTAAGGGGGGCAGCAATAGCCTCCCGAAGTTTGTCCACAATTTGTTGGAGTGTGACATCCGAAGGTTTAAAAGCGTCCTTTATAAAGACAAAGCTTTAATGGATCCCCGTTCTTCGAATCTTGAAACTTGAAACTTCACATCCAGTTGCGTAAACTGAACTTTTCAAGTTTGACCGTGGCCTGTATGACTGAGAATCTTCACAGACATTCTTTGAATGTAACTGGGCAGTAACAGTAACGGTTGGAACATGTTACAGACTAAAAATAGTGTTTATAACGTACAGAGTTAAATATTTTATCTTTTAAGTAAACTGATTTCAACTTGTTTTCTGATTTCATACGTAAAGGCTATAGTGATGCAGAGGACAGTGTAATGTTTAACATTGAGAGGGAATCCTGGCTATGAAAACACAGTTGGAGCTCTTTATAATTCAATAAGTGCCTGTAAACTAGGGACATTTATTAGCTATTAAGTGTTAAGCATGATATGCAGAGTTATGCTTCCCTGCCATATTAAGTATCTGTGGAAGGAAATCACTCTGACGTGAATGCTTTGCTACACACTGGGAAACCTTTTGTACTGACACACACAAATTGCTTAATTCAACTGCTATCGGGGCAGCTATAAAACAAATATTCGATTAACGAGGCAGGTACGTCAAGTAAACACTATCAGTTACCAGACACTGTCAAATGGTATTCTGTCTGCTTCAGGGGAGTAATTACAGGGGAGAACAATGCTCTCTCCGAATCCAGTGAACAGAATGGGAAATATGATCATAATGAATCTGATTTTTTATGTAAAGTTACTGGTCAGATTTTAAGACAACAAGACAAGTCAATGTTTTGCAAGGAATTGTGATGAATTGTTCAGCAACCATATCAAAACTGAAAAGACACCAATCATGCCAATGGAATCACAGCAGGGCACCTCTCACATATCTTTGCAGCCACAAAAAAGGACTATTTTCATAATACAGCTTTTCAAGTCAAAGCTGATTAAAAAGCACCCCTTCTTTAACTAAATATGAAATACACTCATTGTGTTCAGAAGTTAGACAATACATTGGAGACGTTTAATCCTGTGAAAAGACCCTTGCAAATACTTAGCACAAACAAACACACCCATACAAGGTACACATTCAATTCAGAGGGACATTCACCCAAACAAACCCACACATAAAACAGGGCAGTTAATGACACAGTCCAGTGGAGTGAAACCTTACAGCAGCGCTTATTTACCAAAGGCACTGTGATGGCAAAAGAGCTGCAAAAAGGTATAGCTGTGAGCCAGCTATCTTATAGAAGTGGACAAAGAACGCATATATATATATATATAAATATGCAAGAGCTAAATATAGGCACAACAAGAGAAAAAGCCCTTTGACACCTTTTGAGCTCAAGAAAGACAAAAAGAATAACATACTATTTCTATAACTGGAAGAAAACAATATTCACACCTCCACATGGTAAACAATGAAGTGCTTATGTTAGGGTATATGTTGGCCTAAATTACTACCAGTGTCCTGAAAAGAACAGAAAACAAATGTGAAATATAACAAGGAGCCTGGCTTTCTTTTTCTATGCCATGAATTTTTTGGTCTTTATTTTCCCATCATCCCAGTGACTTTTCTGACCATTAAAGAAGTGTATCATTTCAAGGGTGGTGTATGTTCCATTACAAAACACTGTGAAGCTCCGGGTTAGATAAATATCTCCGCCTCATGAGCTCTGAATGCTCTGTTTTACACACATACACGCTCACAAAGAGCAGTCTAGACGAGACTGAACTGGAGCCTCAGTGACTCACACTAATTCAAATATGACCTACCAGAAAATTTATAACACCACTTCAGAGCTACCTCATAAGATAGCATTATTTAGCTCAGAATAAAAAGATTTTTAAATTATCTCCACGGATCTGAAAAAGTATAAATACATGTTTATTTCTATTATGTATGCTTTTATTTATAATTGTTGTTTAAAAGTAACTTTTTAACCACAAAGTAGTTGCAGTTCTACTTTTGAGCAGACTTTAACCCCCAAAAAACGGAGAATAGCAAAGCGATTAATTGTTTCTTTGTCTCCCACACATAGACACTGATAGATTAACATATGTCACTGGTTAAATCTGCCTCACTCTTACACGTGATCTGTCACTTTTAGCCCTCGTCTCTTTGCACTGTGTCCTGTTATGTGTTTTTTTTACTCTCTTAGAAGTACAGGTAAATGCATGCTTGGAATGACTGTAAATCATACCATACATCCACACTTTAGAATAAGAATTTTCCCAAAAATAAGGTTGTCAGTTATAATAATTTCTACAATGGAATTGGTTCCTCATTACTAATTCACATTTCCACTCTGCCATGCCTCAGTAAACACACATGTGCTCTGGAACACATATATCCACATCCCAAGGCAGCAGCACTCCACTCTCCACCCACAATACATAATCTACAGTCTCTCCATTGTTGAGAGGGATTCTCCTCCAAATGCTGAACTGCGATTGGTCGCTCTAATGCGAGGCTTCAAGGCAGCACTATACCCTAACAACAATTCCAGTAAGACAGCGAGTATTGGATAGCCGGCTCTACATTTAGTTCAATTTCCTCTCTAATTTAGCTGAAATAGGAAGCTCTGTAGCCCATCCCCCACTTGAATTTTAAGACGTACTGCATTCTATATTTTTCTGCAGCCAGCAGTATTTTTTTTTATAAATTCCAGCTTTTCTATTCTTTATTGACGTGCAATTTAGCACAGTTTTGCATCAACATAAATGGAATAAAATTCGACCCAGATCAACTGCTTGGGAGAGTGGGTTTCACTGGCTGAGGTTGAAATTCTTCTCATCATATGTTAACCATTTCTGTATGTTGTTTGCTCTCCAGTTTTAAGGGAAAATGTGGTAATCCTTTTCAAATAAAGGATCTTTATAGGAAACATTTTAAAGCATTTCAAAGACAAAGAACATTAGAAGCAACATGGGACTGAGATGCACTGAGCTTGTTGAATTTCTGTCTAAACTGTCAGCAAATCTAAGTCCAATAAAAGAAGATTTACATATTTAGAAGATCAATAATGTTCAAATGGGAATAATTCACTAATGTACACAAATAATTCAAGCATGAGTGCTGCATTAACAGTGAAAAAAAAGGTCATGTTTGAAGATGGACTTGAACATCTGTCCCAAATAGTGCATACATCTGTTCATTTGTAATACTATTATCATCTGTATAAATGTTACTAAAAGAATTAAACAGTACTAACCAATATTATTATGCTTTGTTCAAGTGCATTAAGTTATTAGAAACCAGACTATTATTGTAATGTACAATAAGCATAAACATAGCAGAATCGCATATAAAATAATAGTCTCATAAATGTTGCTTTAAGCGGCTTGGTATAACATAGTTTTCCTAACATTCTTTGCTCCTGAAGCAGTAAATGCAGTTTAGAAATGGGACACACTTCCATTGCAGCCTCTGTCAACTGGTGCAGTCTTAGCCAGAAGGATACATTTTTGTCAAATTAATACAACAACTTGCTTTGTAGGTTTAACTGCTGAGAGACATCTAACTTGCTTAATCAAACTCACTCACTGGAAGATTTGGACAGTCTCGGAGTGTGTTTTATTTCAATCAATGCTGCGTATTCCCCTCAGAAATGCTCTGCCGGGATGGATATGTAGTCAGACATTTGCAAGTACTCGTTAAAATGTAATTGTGTTTTAGGTGGACAATCAATCCTTTTTTTATGCATAATACATTTCATAACTGCGACTGTTTAATCTAATTTAGGGTTAGAAATATGGTGGTGGTGTGTGAGGCCTGTATAAGTAATTGGCATGCATTTTAAGGAGTGGATTCCACTAGTTGTGGACAAGTTTGTATGAGCTAGCTGAAGAAGACTTGCAGACTTGAAGAGACATGCAAATTAAGGAGTTGTAGCACTTGACAAGCAGACAACCAGAAGTCTGAAGACTTGTTCCTAGTTGGGAGCTACACAGTCCTGGGAATCGGGTTTGACTGTGAAATGAGTCCAGCTGAAGCTTGCTGATCCTTTAGGTGAGCTTGTACAGCTCTGCAAGTGCCACAGCTCCTTACCCGTCGTTGCTACTGTTGGGTGCAACTAATCTAAGGAACAGGACTACCTCTGGGACTCCCAGGCTTGAGCTGGGAGGATCCTGGAGCTATGAGCTCCTAGATAATTGAAAACATCAGTGAATAAATAATAGTTACAATACTTCCACGTGCATGTAGCTGTATAATTATTCTGTTCCTGAAAATTGCCCTCTAGCTCCACAAAACCATATAAACATAATGAGGACGAAAAATGTAGAATCCCATAGTGGGACATGTTAATGGCATGAGAGGTTTCTCCTAAAAAAATGAAACAATTTGGACATACGCCGATGAGTTTTTAAACAACTTCTGTCAGTTGGAGTGAGACTTAGAATGAGATAATAATTCCATGAAAGAGGGGAAGAAACAGGAAGACTAGCCTTTTTCTTTCTTTATTACATTACTGCCTAAGCAAGCAATCGATGATTTGTCAACAGATGCCACACAACAAAATGTCAAGAGATTATTAGATTTTGTTTGTTGTTTCTGTGCGAGTCAGGCAGTCAGGTGACCTTTACCACACAGGACAATCTTTAGTAATCTAACTATATAAGCTGTCGGTTAACTGTGAATGTGAGCGTGTGTCTGGATGCTCTCTGGGAGCACACACAACCAGCCTATCACTCCCCTTAGAGACACCTACCACACATTGCTGTACCGGCATTTGGGAAAAAGACGAACAGAGACATTGCTGAGCCTGAAACTGAATTATTCATAACCTTGCACATTTAATCAAAAATGAAGAGCCAGCAGACACAGTCAGAGATGTTGGTGCTTACACAACCTTCAAAATGATTATTGACACTGAATTTATCAGAAAACGATGTTCTTTCTATAGGATCTGCATTAACTATGAGTAAGACTGACAGTGTTACATGGTAGTGAAAAGCAAAGATATCTCCCACTAGTGTCATGGTTGGTGGATGTATGACAGTCCCAACATTCTCTCTGCTCACAGACGAGCTACGAGGTCTCATCCAACACAAATGCTCCAACACTTACCGATGTGTACAGAAAGCCCTCGCTGTTCATAGCCAGATATAGTTTGGTCTGCACCCCCTGGATGGCCACCACTCGCAGCCCCACTGGTATGAGGTTAAACGTGGCTGGAAAAAGAGAAGAGAAGAAACAAAAATTATGCTTAATTATTATATCAACTTTACCTTGTTGGCTAATTAGACTGAAATCTGTCAAAATGTAGTTGTGGTATTTAACAGCAAACAAAGGCATTGTTAAAAAATTAGAAGATGCTGTCACAATATTTCTATAAACAGTGCAGTAGAGTTTGATTTTTTTCTGTTGATTTAAAAAGAGAAGAAACTCCCACTTTGGGATTTAGCTATGTTGTTTCAGTGTTTACTGCCTGCTGTTCACTGCAACCAGTTGCTTACACAAATCTGCACACAAAATCTAAGACAGAAACACACAAACTTTGCATAAACCTGTGTGTGATTAGGGAGCTGAGTGCGGAGACTTGGAGAGCCAACAGCAGCCCAGCTGGTCACTGAAGTACAACTTTACCTAATTAGTCTCAGCTTGAACTGGCAAAAGTGTGTGTGCATATTTGTATTTCCCCAAAGGCTCAAAGAGGGGATCTGAAAAAAATTTACTTGAGAGCAGTCAGCAGTTATCTTGGACACGTACAAAAAGTGTCACAATGCCACCATTTAACATAATTATTTTCAAACCCGTACACCAGAAAAGATTTTACAATTCTCACATTCAGATTAAGCTCTGGCTCAGTCAGTGGTGACTTGCCTTGTAGATCTTCTTGTCAGCCGCTTAATAGATTTCTATCTCAAACTCATTTAAGTGCGGTTCACAATAGAGGCTTTGGGATGGGCCATTTCATTGGCCCTTATTGCTTGAACACTGCAGACGTGCCTCCCTTGGGGCTTTCTACGCAAACAGCTGCCATAGGATTGCATTCCGTGTTTACTTCAGAGAGGCATTGCCAGAATAATATTGTTTCAGTGAAAATGAAAAGGCAATTGCTGGTAAGACTAGTCTGTATTCCATTCCCTCATCTCTTTCTTCTATCTTCTTTAGTTTCAGTTTATTTTTCTTCCTCTCCTCTCTTGCTTCTGTGCTACATGAAAGCCTTTACCTAAAATAGGTCTTGTTTGTTCTTGCATTGCCAATAGTCAGAATTTTATATATTAAATAGCAAACAACAATAAGGAGAGAGAGAGAATCATGAAGATACTGAAAATCCCATGAGTTTACTTGTCAGTGCTTTCTGATTGGTACATTCAGTGGTGACTTGCCTTATCATATGCATTATTTCTAGAACAGCTGTGATAAACAGAAGATGTTTTGGTCTCATCTGTCACACAAAGCCCTGCTTCCGCAGCAGAAAACTCCACCAGTGAAGAAGAATTCTTCAAGGTCCCGTGGTATCTATCCAAAATACATTATTTCATTCCACGGAATGGCACAATGTCGTGCAAATCTGCACAACTCTTTCATGCTTTTCTTTCTACAGCAGATAGCATCTCCTCCATGTGGGTTGGATTAGCCATTTTATTATCACAGTGTGAGTGAAGCTGTGGAGACAGAGATGCTTTCCCTATGAGTGTGTTTATTATGTTAAATTGATTTAGCTGCTGCCTGTATCAAAAGTGAATGATAGAGGCATTCAGTAGTTTGTTTGGCAGGGTTTAAGTTGAGAGGGCTTTTGGTAGTTATTATAGCTACCGATTGCTCTAGGCAATGGGTTCTGTAAATACATACTAGAGTTTATCAAACATACTTTTGTATTATCATTCCATGTAAGTTACATGCTCTCAAATTAGATGGCTATGATTCAGGTTTCAGACTTTCAAAGGACTTATACATCCAAGCATGATAATGCGGGTGGCTTCCTACACCCATAGAAAATGACTGACAATTCAAACATGTCAGATGCTAATGGTCTCTGTCATCTCTGTCTTGGAAATTGTTATTTTTTGCATGCAGGAATTTACAAAACTATTTGGGCTTATGAAATTAAGAAAAAGTGGCTGGAGTTTGAGAAAAGCCAAGCTGAAGAGGCTTGTCTGTGGGTGTTGAGCACATACTCACAGAACTGGAGATACACACCAGTGGAAAGATGTGAAAAGCCACAGTGGAGCATCATCACCAAGAACTGGCTCTCCAACAGCCACTTTAGAAAGCATCGCTTTATCATATTTCATTTGAAACGAATGAGGTTAATGAATAAATCAATATTATCATTACTACTGACAAAATATCGATATGGCCTATTTTTTTGGAGTGAGCTTTACTAATATTACCATCAATAGCAGCATCACAGCTGAATGAAATATAGTAGAGGGCAGACACAACAGCTACTCTGCAAGAACAGTAAGAAGAACGGGGCTGGAAATGAACTGATGTAATGACAGCAGCATGGTTACAGGAAATGTATAGCTCGATATTGCTCTTTTCTTTCCTTTTTGTTTTGGAAGTAAACATTTGATGGTTTTCTGTCTCCCTTCTCTTTAATATCTATGTGAGCTTGTCTGTAATTGCGGTGAGTTTCCTCCCTCGATGCTTCCACCACAGTGCACACACCAACGTGCACACCTCATTTTAGAAGGATTACCAGCCAGTGCTCTGATGGAGATTTTCGAGTGGGGAAACTCAATTACTTCCTCAATCCTAGAAACACCTGAGCACACAGAAGAGGATGACAGGACCACCCACGCGCAGACGTTTCCTGGTGCACAGAGGCACATGAAATACAGGAGGGAGGAAGCCTGAAGGACAGCTTCCAGGATTGTTTTAGTGCCACCCACTTACAGCACCAAGTCTTTACCAATTCATTGTTTTCATCAGTCTAAGTCTTTATGATAGGCAATCGATAGTCCTGACATTATTAATATAATTCTTGGACAGGCTTACCCACCATTATCAATTTTAAAAACCATAAATGGTGCAAGGTATTGTCTCAACATTAGAATGAAATGACCACACTACGTATAGTTTGATTCGTGTGGAGCTGCATTGGAGATTGGTTGGGTAACTAGAATAAAATTGTAAAGGTTTAGTTTTTTGTAAAGAGTTGGGTTTGTTAAGTCATGAAGCAAACCAGAGAGATACTTAGCATATGTGACATTTCAGTTGTTTTCCTTCGTAATAAAAATTTAATAGAAACATTAAATGTTTAATACAACAGTGAAATAGATGGGGCTTGTCTTCAAAGCTAGCACCAGTGGCAAAGATTAAATGGGAGTTAGTGTATGTAGGTCTATACACATCTGAGGAGGTCCTCTCCCACCATCATAAGACACCACTAGCTCCAAGAGGACTGCGCTCTCTGTCACCATGGAGACAAGCGCACCCAGAGCCTAACAACGCTATTTTTGGAGCAGTGTAAAGAGCTTCACTCTTTCTGCTTTTCCTGTTCAGCAGCACTCTTTAATTTTCTCTTCATAAACTGCCAATGCAGGCCAGCTGTTACGTAACTCAACAGAAAAAGTAGGGCCGTGCCGATTTGATGGGTGGGGTGGTGGATGTGGGAGGTGGAGCATCTTGCTGTAACTTGAGTTTGTGTTTACCGCATGCATATGAGATTGGTAAAGTCTCACTTTGGTGTTTTAACCTGAACTTCTGCTCATTTCTGCTCTCCTTGGTATTTAATATTAGTAGAATCTTATTGAAGATGCAAAATCTCTGCACGATTACAAAGTGTTTTTCTGCTGAGAGAACATCCCCTTTGTAGAGACCTGCCTGCTGTTTATGCCTAAGACACATCTTCCCAAAGGGACTAGATTATTGCACAGGTACTCATTTGCAGGCCCAAGATGTGATCCTTTTCCTACTTAGTTAGATAACCTACTAAGTATTGCATCCAAACTGATCACACAGATCTTTTTCCTAACAATATAATTCTAGACACAGTAAATCATACCTAATCACTAACCGATGTATTTCTCTAATGTACAATGTTTGTTTCGCTGTCTCATTATGAGGCGATGCATTTCTGCTGCATTGTTAGCTGACAAGTGCCCGTGCTGTTTCTGTTCTACAGATCTCCTCTCAAATCTATTGGAAAACAAAGAGCTGGTGGGTGTAGTGGCTATGATGGGGATGCATCAATGCATAGTATAAGACAAAACTGTGTCACCATAGAGGCGGTGTGTAGGAGAGTAAAAAGCTATCATTCCTGATCTGTGCTCAGATTGGTAAAAAAAAATACTTTGGATGAAATTAAAAAGCTTCTCATAATTGTATCAACGTACCAATGCAGTTCAACTAATCTAGTTATTGTTCAACTTCAAACACACACGCATGCATATATGCATTATATATATCTATATATATATATCTATTTCTATATAAATCTATCTCTCTATAAATATATATATACACACACACAGATACAGTACATATATAACTCTGTGAAGCAAGGTCTTTGAGTGAGACTTACTGTAACCACTGTCCTCCTCCTTTGTTCCATCAATGGTTCCATCTGCCTGCAGCTGCAGGTGAAAGCCTTGTCGACTGTACAGCTTCGTTACAATCCCCTTTAGCTGGGGCTCTGGGGGAAGTAAACAGACAACAGAGACGGAGACACATGAGAATAAAACCATTAAACACTCAGCATGCTGATTTCACACGAGGCCCTTTAACGGGACATTTCGAATCTTAGGTTGTTTTGCTTCTCGACATGAATTTGGACACTCATGAGGTCACAAAACTTGGACATAACTGTGGTGGAAGATCGGCTCCAGCTCTGCTGCGATGTCCTTCGTTGTTGTTGCCGTCTATCTGTTAGGACCTCAAACTGTAATAAAAACTACTGAAACAGTGCCACTGAAAGGCAGGTAGAGCTGATTGGGGCTGAAGGGGTGCCCGTAAAACACCCGTCAGACACAGTTCATGTTAGATTAGTCTTTTATGGTTAAGGACCTTCTATTTAGATACATTTTAATGCAGCTCTTTTTAAAGAGGAAGTGCAGAGTTCATGACCCCACAGGGTGGGTCAGTGTTGGCCATTTTTGCCACAAAGGTTGTAGAAACAGTTTGTGCTGCTTTGTTCATGTTGATAAAATCCCTTCTCCCTGCTTTATGTTGTCTATATCACAGAAGTTACGAAAAAAACAACCCCGGTGGCTCAGTTTGTGTAAAGTGTAGTAAAAAATTATTCAAGGTGTGACACGAGAATCGAGTTTGCTGGGTTCCACTATTCATTTTTATCCATTCTTCTTTTTCCTGGAATAGTTAACAAGTAAACATTTTGTGTTTGCTCGGTATAATGTATGACTGTCTTATATTTACACAAAGATCAATCTAAAAAAGCTGTACAAACAGAATTTGACATACATATAATATACTAAGTCATAAAACTATAAAAAGCTTCAGCATTCGATGATATAAAACAATTACTTACAGTTCTCACTCAAACACTATTAGAACATGAGATGAAAATGATCAAATCCATCAAAATGTTGCAATAGGCTACACTAAAAGCAAGGACATGGTCGGAAAATGGGAGGGGTAGCTGGCAGAGGCTTCATTAATGTATTTGGATGAATACATTTGGATTTAAGTATCTCCCCTATTTGGTATGATTTCATTTCTTGGTGAATCTTCTTCAGATTGAATTGCATCGATCCAGTGTTAGACCAGCCAGATCTTGTGTTAAGCAGATGTGTTGTAGTAATTATTATTTCCTGCTCACTGTTTGTCCCGTGTCTCACCCTGGTCCTCCGGGACATTATTCTCCTGCTCACTTTCCTGTCATTGCTGGTTATGTTGAATGTGTTACATCAGCGTTTTGTCCAGTAAGACCTAAGTGCCTTCCATTATCTGCTTACTGTCATTAGCGGGGTGATTTTTAGTGTGGTTAACCACACCTTTTAGCTATCCTTTGAACACAATCACTTTTTAAAACAGCCAGTGCTAGCTTTACCTAAGTTACCTTGTAAAGTAAACCTTGCATTTTCAAAATATATCTAATTTAAAGCATCAACAGCTGTACACATATTAGCGAGTTAATTGACACAAAAGTATACACGCACATCATCATATGAAATTAGGATGGCAACTAACTATAGGACAGTGACAACTTTTGTACAAAGCGATGGCATGTTTTACCTTTGATGATTGTGGAGCCTCTGCTTCCAACTCTAAAAGTTAGGATCTAGTCATTTAAATGTGCATTCCAACCAGTCTCTGACAAATTTGGGTGGGTTGAGAGTTATTTTGTCCACAGATCCACTGCCCTTTCTGGACTTTTTAAACAATATGTAGATTGCTGCATAAAGTTTTAACTGCATACTGAGCACATTTTGAAAATTGGTTTGAAACTAGACACTGAATGGTTCAACAGTGAACTTAAACTTCAATCATGAGAGTCAATGGGACTTCTCTGTGGTTCCTTCATTATATCATCAACACTGACAAAGCTTATGACTTTAAGCAAATTGAGCAGTATCTCATGCAAATGACTTGAAATGTTAAGAGTTTGTGATCGAACTACAACCTAACACATCTTCTTTTTTTTGTTTTACAACAGACCTGGTCGTCTCCTTCGCCTCTTCTTGGAACCAAAAAGCTTGACCCGTGAAAAAACGTTCAGCCGGCTGGGCTTTTCGCAGGTTCCCTTGGTCTTAGTGGGGCTGCTAACGCAGCGGCAGGCATTGGACTTCTCCCGCTCCCTCGCCTGCCTTTTCTGCCTGATGAGGGAGCTGGCAATAGCCGCAGCCATGGCCAGTTTGGCTGTGCCCTGGAGAAAACTTCCAGAGAAGCCCTGAATGAAACCAGCCCCTCAGCTCTGAGAGACAGAATTCTGAGGGGTGGGGGTGAGGGGGGACTGGGAATTTAAAGCGCAGAGCTAACAATCCGTTGCAACAGCGACGATGCCTTCAGTAAAAAAATAAAAAAGAAGAAGCGCAAAGTGCACCAAACAGTGCAACGAGGCGTCCCGGTGGTGCAGCAAAGCCAACGCGCCAAGATCCCGTCCAGAATAAGCAATGTGTGACTAAATCAGGCGTTATTCGGCAACTCGCCGTTTTTCTTCCATGGGGAAAAAAAAAGTGAGACTTAACAGAAGAAGAAAAAAAGAAATCCACGTTCCACCGAGAGACTTCTACTGGAGCGCGTCACATGTCCCTCCAACTGTATCGTTTTCATGATATCAGAACGGTAAAAAAAAACAAAAAAAATGTTTGCTCCATCCCAGTAAACTACGCGCACATAGTAATCTCTTTGCCACAAAGTCGTAAATTGCGCTTGGTACCAAAGGATGGAAACACCTGTTTGAAGACGCCGGAAGAGTCTTTTGTAATGCTCTCTACCTGGTTCCCTTGACACCACCCCGAAACAGCACTGAATAAAGAATTGTATCCCGATTTTTAAAAAAAGGCACAGGATGTTAACGGATCGCTTCGGAAATCCCGTTACGTCGTTGCGCTCTTTCTCGGAGCGAAGCGGCGTCAGGTAAGAGCCAGAAGCGCCTCATCCTGACTCAGTATCCAAGCCCAGCGCGCAAACTAAGACAGCCCTGCTGCTCAGAGCATCCCACCTACAACCTGGAGAACACGCAGCGAGGAGGAGGGGTGAGGGTTCTAACTAAAGACGCTATCCCGGTCAATCTGCACAGGTGCCACATCAGGAATTCCACACAAGCTTCCACTAGGGATAATTCTTCTTAAGTATAAGCGGAGAGGGGCGTAAAACGCGTGAAGGCGGGTGGGTAGCAAAGAGGAGAGAAAGTGCATGAGAAAAAGAGATCTCCAAAGGTTTTCAGGATCATTATTCATTTTAGACAAACTAGAGAGAGAGAGAGTGATACTTTATGATCTAAATTAGACAAGTATAGCTATGGAGGACAGGCATTTAAATGTTGAATCCAAATATACACAAATAAAAAGCTAAACATTATTCTTACTGATTGAAATCGGTTTAATGATTGATTACAATGCCAGTTCAAACATGCAGATTCTTATCAATCTGCATGTTAATAAAACAGCAAGCTGATATGTCAGATGCCATAAAGTCAGCCGTTTATAAAAGGTAAATATCATTAGTGTAGATGTTCTTGTGATTTAGATTTCAGAGCCTTAAATCCCAGTTCATATTAACCGTAGCCTTTTATTTTCCTCCACTTGACATGAATAGAGCATTTTATCTTAACTCAATGCTAAAAAAACAAAAAGTAAAAACAAACAAACATATCAGATCGAACAGATTTTCACTTTTGGGGATGTTTGCAACTCTAACCCGGACTGGAAGCACAATAGGTAAACTGTGAGACTGATTGTCAACTTTAAAAGTGTGATCAACCTTCTTTTATGGTTACAGATTAAAGAGTATGCACCAGGAACTGTCATTTCCACAGTGACTGTAGGCTAGTCTTGCCAGTGCTGGATTCAGGACGTTTAACTGATTAACCGATGGTGCCATCTACAGTCCCAAAACCAAACTGTTGACTTTTTATGTTTTTATTCTCATACAAGCAAATTTTTTCTTACCACACCTCAGCGTAAGGAGGTGATTGATAAATTCTGAAGCATCACTGACAGTGTAAAATTGTAGAGTAGCTGTTCAGCCACTATAAAGTAAATAAATTAGTTCCATAAAACTAAACGTCACAATGAGGATGTAAACCTCTGACACGCATTTTAGATAAATACAAACAAAAAGCTGATAATGCGCAAAGAATCTGTTAAATTTATGACATCTCCACTTCAGCACCATGGAGAGCGACATAATGAATCCCGCAAGAGTGAGCAAAGATTTCTTAACAATGCAACAGACAATGTTGAACAACACACCTGACAGGAAACGTTAAAACCCATTTTATAACGATGATCCAGAAAGCTTTGTCTAAAACAAAAACAAAGCCAAAACAAGAGCCTACCTGAAGTCGATTTTCTCAAGGGAAAAGTCATCCTTTCTCTATAGCGAAGCCAAAGCAGTGACTTGGACACCTCTAGCTCTTAGGTACTGAAGAGAAGACGAGGATGCTCGATTCAGCACATTTCAAACCATTGTCAAACAACTGTCAGAGGCGTAGTGGAGGAAAAAGCAGTGAGGCGTGGCCACCAGTGGGAAGATCATTACAGGACATTAGCGACATGCCATTATGACTCATGAAATGCTCATTAAACATTAATTTGGAGGTCTTGTTGGTCTGGTAGACAATGGCATCAGTTGAACGTATTGCTGAGGTCTGATGGGGGGACAGGGGTGAGGGGCAGATTACAGAAAAAGCAAACCAAAATGCAGGCTGCCATTGTACTTCCTTCTTAGGGCACAGAAGACTTTGCTCTCATATTACAAAAATGATGTAAAAGGATCCGATAATGCGTTGACTAAACTAGTTATACAGCCCTTTCCACTTTGAGCTGAAAATATCGATGAGACAATGGCAGGCTTTGCAGCAGACAGAGGGATTTCACAAAGAGATTTTTCTGTGCTTTGAAACTATAACTGTGGAGGTGCTTTTGGCCAAACATACAGTTCTGATCAAACATGGACTTTGAACGGCATACATTTCTAGCTCGGCGCATGAAATCCCAATCAGTGTGGTCTGCTTTTACCATTCGGTCTTGAATATGTCAAGGTATCAAAGGCCCATCAGGTGGATTACACTGGTGAGTCTTGAGACTTGAGTAGAGAGAGAACTCAAAGTAAACACAGAATTAAGTATGTGAGCTACAGGACAGTCACCAAGCTCTGACACTAAGTGTGCCCTCACTGACGTAGCAAGATTTATCGTTTTAAACACTAGGTGGCGCACTTGGACTGTCCATGAAAAATCATGCCTCATGAGACTCAAAGTAAAAACCTAGATTCAGTTTTCTATTATTGAATTGTAAGTTATTTCAATTCAATCTTTTGTTCACTGATAATTTTAAAACATATTTTTTAACTGGTTCAATCTAAATTGGTGACTGAACTGTTTTTTGTTGTGAAATATGGGTCTAAATATCACTATCTTTTACCAATGTCACCATTTGACATTGCCCCAAAGATACCAACAAAACTATGCTCTCAATACTTTAGCTCACAGGCTTGCATTGTATTAAAAAAATGAAACAACATTCTTAATGCAGGTTTTTTTCTGCAGATAGATGCAAGTCTTCTATCTAAATATACTTTAACCATACAACAATTCAACATTCAACAATCTACAAACATTCAACAATCTACTTATATTTAAACCATACCAATAAAAATAGTATATACCGCATAAAAAGCATAGAAAACAAATCATTACAGGATTGAACATCAAAAATCTCCACACTAATAAAGGACTCATTTATTTTTGTGGCTTTGTGTGGTCTGAATCTCCAGAAAGGAACAAAACATGTTCATACAACAGTGCCAAGATACTGAATTACAATGAATGTGGTTGAATTTACATAACTAGGCATTTTACAATACATTAACACACACACTTGAATTACTTTAAACATAAATGTTTTCTTTTCCTTTTACCGTCACTGACATCCTCCAAGGATGACTCTCCTTAGAAGGTTAGTCTTTCTGCAAAAAGACTAACCATTACCAAGCATTACTCTGGCTCTGTGTCTAAATCACTAACCCAACATTTTCTTATTATAGTACAGCCTCTTCCATCCTACATTTTTCATTAATTAATTTCCATTAATTTCTTGGACTTTATATGATTTGAGGGGGGGGGGGGTTGATTCCTGTAGCATGCTGTCTTTCTCTCTTTCTCTTTGTGTGGAACTAAAAATACCTCAGAGGGGAAAAAACACCAGATACCAAATGGTACATGATGATGCAGATCTCTTCCACAAAAATAACTTCAGTCAGTACTCTGTCAAGTTTACTTTTGTGCTATTTTTAACAACATTTTCTCTTTGTTTAGTTTTTGTGCTCATTGGATGATGAAGTGAGAAGCCAAGAAAAACTCTATACAAAAAAGGTAAAATGACAAACTTTGAGACTGTTTTGCCCATGTGATAGACACCCAATAGAACCCATTCTCATGATTAAATAGACATAAACCAATGCTACTTTTTTACAGGAACTGTGTCTTTTGCTAATGGATCATTACTTTCTCAACCTCCAAGTCAGAGATTTGTGAGCCATTTGGCACACATGAAAAGGTCTATTCTACGAAAAGCCAATTTCCAACTCTAAGTTACTTTAATATCTTAACTCAACCAGTTGCAACAGTGCATACACTTGAAAGGATGCAAAAAGTGTTATTTTTTTAAAGAAAGCAGTAACGTTTTACGGGAGACACACCCTGGACTCCTAAGTTACAGTAACGTGTGCAACTCCTGACAGATATATAAACTTGTTTTCTTTGGCCAGCAAACACGCTCTCTTGGTAGCATCATGACTGTATACTGATATAAAAAGCTGTGGCCAAGAACATGAATCAAAAGATTCTGTTTCATGACAGTTTCACAATCTGCGATGACACCAGAACACGGCCACAGTGGCAGAGGCTGCGTGGTGGTTGCCAAGGCTGGAATACAATATGCCACTGCAGACAAATGTGACAAATGAGAGGAAAAACCTGAACCCTTCACCCTGTTGCTGAGGGGAATCAGTGGCTCAGTCACTTTTCTTCAAGACTCAGTGCAAATGAATGTACAGTTATCCTGATAGCTTTTAGTGATCACCTTTACCCTGCCGTGAAACATTTGTAAATGTGATCTCCTCAGGGATGAGAATGCTCCCATTCACAGCACATAACCGATCTCTGACTTCCCAATGAGAATATTTTTT